ATTATTATCACACTGGCCGATTCCCACCAAGGCAGGGTGGCCCGAAAAAGAAAAACTTTCACCATCATTCACTCCATCACTGTCTTGCCAGAAGGGTGCTTTACACTACAGTTTTTAAACTGCAACATTAACACCCCTCCTTCAGAGTGCAGGCACTGACATATTACTATAATATAGTAGTATGTCATTGATGTCAGTATAGTAATTACATAGAAAGTCACTTGTTATGCAGAGCATTTCGGGCAAATTAGGTCAGTTTTGTCCCAAGATGCGACCCACACCAGTCGACTAACTTCCAGGTACGCAGTTTATTAATGGGTGAGCATAGATAACTGGTGTAAAGAAACACACCCAATGTTTCTACCCTCTCTGGGAATCGAATCAGATCCTCACCATGTGAAGCAAGAGCTTTAACCACCAGGCCATGGGGCACCGTCCAGGCCACGGGGTACATTGGAAGAAATTTTAAACGCTTGATGGCAAATATGAAAATAATAAACACTGTTTTTTTTCATGAACTCCATTGTGTAAACTGATATTTATGGTATGTTCACAAAAAATGTACCACAAATTTGCAACCGTGTTAGAGCAAAATTGCGTTATCAGATCACATGTTAGCCAACGGTCTATTGTATATATGTTCATTGTTCCTTAATGCCAGTGAGAGAATTTAGCTCCAATGAATTGGACCTGTCCTACCCTTCTTTTCAAAAAACCCGATTGCCTCCCATTCCCTCATTTGTTTCGTGACCCCTTGTGGGTTTAGTGCTCCCCTATAAAAGTAACAGTACAGAGAATTTCTCACTCCATCACAAGTGCTAGTCCAGCTCCTGCCCCAAATGCATTTTGTACAAGATGAAAAAGATTCCATGTACTCCTCTAAATTGTAGGTTGTGGGGCAGTATGGCTGTAATCACCTAATTGTGGTTGCAGGGGTCGAAACTCAGCTCCTGGCCCCGCCTCTTCACCGATCGCTATTACGTCCTCTCTCTCTGCTTCCTGAGCTTTGTCATACCTCGTCTTAAAGCTATGTATGGTTCCTGCCTTCACTACATCACTTGCTAGGCTATTCCACTTCCTGAAGACTCTGTGACTGAAGAAGTACTTCCTAACATCCCTGTGGACTCATCTGAGTCTTCAGCTTCCAATTGTGACCCCTTGTTTCTGTGTCCCCTCTCTGGAACATCCTGTCTCTGTCTACCTTGTCTATTCCACGCATTATTTTGTATGTTGTTATCATGTCTCCCCTTCCTCAACCTTTCTTCGTAGGACATTCCCCAGAGTTCTGGAACTAGCCTTGTTGAAAACATTTGTATTTTTTATTATTATCACACTGGCCGATTCCCACCAAGGCAGGTTGGCCCGAAACAATAAAACTTCACATAATTCACTCCATTACTGTCTTGCCAGAAGGGTGCTTTACACTACAGTTTTTAAACTGCAACATAAACACCCTTCCTTCAGAGTGCAGGCACTGTACTTCCCATCTCCAGGACTCAAGTCCGCCTGCGGTTTCCCCTGAACCCCTTCATAAATGTTACTTTGCTCACACTCCAACAGCATCGTCAAGTATTAAAAACCATTTGTCTCCCTTGCACTCCTATCAAACACGCTCATGCATACCTCTGGAAGTCCAAGCCCCTCGCACACAAAACTCCTTTACCCCCTCTCTCCAACCTTTTCCTAGGCCGACCCCTACCCCGCCTTCCTTCCACTACAGAACTGATACACTCTTGGGAAGTCATTCTGTTTCGCTCCATTCTCTCTACATGTCCGAACCACCTCAACAACCCTTCCTCAGCCCTCTGGACAACAGTTTTGGTAATCCCGCACATCCTTCTAACTTCCAAACTACGAATTCTCTGCATTATATTCAACACCACACATTGCCCTCAGACATGACATCTCCACTGCCTCCAGCCTTCTCCTCGCTGCAAAAATTCATCACCCATGCTTCACACCCATATAAGAGCGTTGGTAAAAACTATACTCTCATACATTCCCCTCTTTTTCCTCCAAGGACAAAGTTCTTTGTCTCCACAGACTCCTAAGTGCACCACTCACTCTTTTTCCCTCATCAATTCTATGATTCACCTCATCTTTCATAGACCCATCCGCTGACACGTCCACTCCCAAATATCTGAAAAACATTCACCTCCATACTCTCTCCCTCCAATCTGATATTCAATCTTTCATCACCTAATCTTTTTTTTAAATCCTCATAACCTTACTTTTTCCCTGTATTCACCTTTAATTTTCTTCTTTTGCACACCCTACCAAATTCATCCACCAATCTCTGCAACTTCTCTTCAGAATCTCCCAAGAGCACAGCGTCATCAGCAAAGAGCAGCTGTGACAACTCCCACTTTGTGTGTGATTCTTTATCTTTTAACTCAACGCCTCTTGTCAAGACCCTCGCATTTACTTCTCTTACAACCCCATCTATAAATATATTAAACAACCACGGTGACATCACACATCCTTGTCTAAGGCCTACTTTTACTGGAAATAATTTCCCTCTTTCCTACATACTCTAACTTGAGCCTCACTGTCCTCGTAAAAACTCTTCACTGCTTTCAGTAACCTCCCTCCTACCCATACACTTGCAATCTGCCACATTCCCCCCCTATCCACCTGTCTTTACGCCTTTTTCCAAATCCATAAATGCCACAAAGACTCTTTAGCCTTATCTAAATACTGTTCACTTATTTGTTTCACTGTAAACACCTGGTCCACACACCCCTACCTTTCCTAAAGCCTCCTTGTTCATCGGGCTATCCTATTCTCCGTCTTACTCTTAATTCTTTCAATAAAAACTCTCCCCAACACTTTACCAGGTTACTCAGCAGATTATCCCCTATAATTTTTGCACTCTCTTTATCCCTTTGCCTTTATACAAAGGAACTATGCATGCTCTCTGCCAATCTCTAGGTACCTTACCCTCTTCCATACATTTATTAAATAATTGCACCAACCACTCCAAAACTTTATCCCCACCTGCTTTTAACATTTCTATCTTTATCCCATCAATCCCGGCTGCCTTACCCCCTTTCATTTACCTACTGCCTCACGAACTCCCCCCACACTCACAACTGGCTCTTTCCTCACTCCTACAAGATGTTATTCCTCCTTGCCCTATACACGAAATCAACAGCTTCCCTATCTTCATCAACATTTAACAATTCCTCAAAATATTCCCTCCATCTTCCCAATACCTCTAACTCTCCATTTAATAACTCTCCTCTCCTATTTTTAACTGACAAATCCATTTGTTCTCTAGGCTTTCTTAACTTGTTAATCTCACTCCAAAACTTTTTCTTATTTTCAACAAAATTTGTTGATAACATCTCACCCACTCTCTCATTTGCTCTCTTTTTACATTGCTTCACCACTCTCTTAACCTCTCTCTTTTTCTCCATATACTCTTCCCTCCTTGCATCACTTCTACTTTGTAAAAACTTCTCATATGCTAACTTTTTCTCCCTTACTACTCTCTTTACATCATCATTCCACCAATCGCTCCTCTTTCCTCCCGCACCCACTTTCCTGTAACCACAAACTTCTGCTGAACACTCTAACACTACATTTTTAAACCTACCCCATACCTCTTTCGACCCCATTGCTATGCTCTCATTAGCCATCTATCCTCCAATAGCTGTTTATATCTTACCCTAACTGCCTCCTCTTTTAGTTTATAAACCTTCACCTCTCTCTTCCCTGATGCTTCTATTCTCCTTGTATCCCATCTACCTTTTACTCTCAGTGTAGCTACAACTAGAAAGTGATCTGATATATCTGTGGCCCCTCTATAAACATGTACATCCTGAAGTCTACTCAACAGTCTTTTTAAACTACCAATACATAATCCAACAAACTACTGTCATTTCGCCCTAATCATACTTGTATACTTATTTATCCTCTTTTTCTTAAAATATTATTACCTATAACTAAACCCCCCTTCTATACAAAGTTCAATATGCCCCACTTCTTGCACCCAACCTTTATTTTTAAACCACAAAATTTTTTAAATTTTACACATTCATTTTTTTTTCTCCTCCAAAAACTATCATTTAATTTCTGCTCCCCCCTTTGCTTAACTCTCTCAGATACTCGATTTAATCCCATTTATTCCCCCCCACTGAACTCTCCTACCCCCTTCAGCTTTGTTTCGCTTAGGGCCAGGACATCCAACTTCTTTTCATTCATAACATCAGCAATCATCTGTTTCTTGTCATCCGCACTACATCCACGCCATTTAAGCATCCCAGTTTTATAAAGTTTTTCTTCTTCTCTTTTTTAGTAAGTGTCTACAGGAGAAGGGGTTACTAGCCCATTGCTCCCGGCATTTTAGTCGCCTCATACGACACGCATGGCTTACGGAGGAAAGATTCTTTTCCACTTCCCCATGGACAATAGAAGAAATAAAGAAGAACAAGAGCTATTTAGAAAAAGGAGAAAAACCTAGATGTATGTATATATATATGCATGTGCGTGTTTGTGAAGTGTGACCAAAGTGTAAGTAGGAGTAGCAAGATATCCCTGTTATCTAGCGTGTTTATGAGACAGAAAAAGAAAACATTTGTACTTTCTCTAATTTCTTGGCATGCTTGACCAGGTGTGGGTTCCAAACTGGTGCTGCATACTCCAGTTTGGGCCTGACGTACACAGTGTACAGTGCCTTGAATGATTCCTTACTAAGGTATGAGAACGCTATTCTCAGGTTTGCCAGGCGCCCATGTGCTGCAGCAGTTATCTGGTTGATGTGTGCCTCCGGAGACGTGCTCAGTGTTATGGTCACCCCAAGATCTTTCTCCTTTAGTGAGGTTTGCAGCTAGCCTATACTCTCTCTGCAGTCTTCTTTGCCCTTCCCCAATCTTCATGATTTTGCATTTGGCAGGGTTGAATTTGAGAAGCCAGTTGCTGGACCATGTGTTCAGCCTGTCCAGGTCTCTTTGTAGTCCTGCCTGTAAAAAATTAATTAACTTGATATCTTGTTGCAGCTGAGTGTTCTGGAGAGTGCCTGGGGGTCTGTAATGACAAAGCGTCTAGCACGTGTCAAGAGAGTTTGCCAACAGCACTACTTATCTTTAAAGAGGTTTTCCTTTCTAAATAAATTCACATATGATACCCAACACCATCTTGCTTACTGCAGGAATGCCAAGGTAAGGACAAGTTTATTAAATATTCTGAGCTATACTCATACATTTATATTCCATTTTTTATTAGAAGCTATCGGAATAAAATTGGAATCAATTTAATGTAGCAATAATAGATTGTATATTATTATTAATAATATTTTTTAACACATCGGCAATCTCCCACCGAGGCAGGGTGACCCAAAAAAAGAAAGACTCGCCATCATTCAGCACTTTCAGAATCATTCCCACATATTTTGTTTTTGCAGAGGCACTCAAATACAACAGTTTAGATGTCACTCCAAATAGCCAATATCCTAAACCCCTCCTTTAGAGTGCAGGCATTGTACTTTCCACGACCAGGACTCGAGTCTGGCTAACCAGTTTCCCTGAATCCCTTCATGAAATATTACTCTGCTCACATTCCAGCAGCTCGTCAGTCCCAAAAACCATTCATCTCCATTCACTCCTATCTAATACGCTCACACGTGCCTGCTACATGTCCAGTCTCCTTGAACACAAAACCTCTTTTACCCCCCTCTCTCCATCCTTTCCTAGGATGACTCCTACCCCCCCTCCCCTCCACTACAGATTTATTCACTTTCCATGTCATCCTATTTTGCTCCATTCTCTCTCAATGACCAAACCACCTCAACAACCCCTCTTCAGCCCTATGAAAATTACTTTTAGTAACTCTACACCTCCTAATGTCCACACTACAAATTCTATGCATAGTATTTTCACCACACATTGCCCTTAGACATAACATCTACACTGTCTCCAGCTTCTTGCTTGCTGTAGGATTTACAACCCATGCTCCACACCCATATAAGAGTGTTAGTACCACTGAACTTTCATACATTCCTTTCTTTGCCTCCATGGATAACGTTTTCTTTTTGTCTCCACAGATACCTCAATGCACCACTCACATTTTTCCCTTCATCAATTCTGTGGTTAACCTTGTCCTTCGTAAACCCATCTGCTGACAAGTCTACTCCCAAATATCTGAACACATTCCCTTCTTTTTTTATTTATTTATTTATTTATTATTATTTGGACATGATACATAGTTGTACAAAAGAAATACAGTGGTTGAGTGTACATGCCAAAAGCCCCAAAAAGCTTCCATGCTATTATTATTATTATTAAAGGCAAAGTGCTAAACCCATATGGTTCATACAGCACCTGAGCTAGTGTGAGGCAATCATGTTCAAGGAACAAGAGGATGAGTCAAATTCTTTGCACCATGAGACTCACACTTGCATCAACGAACTTCTTCATGGGAATTCTTCGTAAAAAAAAAATCATAAATGTTTAATTACCAATATATGTAGACACATTGACTGGCCTTGAAACTGCTGATCTTCCTTTCATTAGTATATCCCTGGTGTAAGCCAATGTACATCTTTATCTAATGCATTACAGGATTAAATTTTACTTAATATAGTTTACTGGGTATTTTACAGAAATGAATAATGGTTTGGTGTTTTCAGACAGGCACCACTAGCTGGCTGGGACACCTGCTAGAGTGGGCAGGTGTGGAGATATCAAACATGACACCATACGAGATTCATGAAGCAGCCAATCAGGCCTTTCCAGCCTTGCCATCCAAGGATGCTGCCCAGGAGATGCAGCACCTGCCCATCACCTTCACTGTGGTCCGCCATCCCTTCACAAGGTAATATAGGTGCAGTAGACATTAAAGCTTACTTCACCATTTCGAGAAACCAGCCATTTCTTGCCTCTTGGCACAAGAGAGTTGCCCAGTGCAGTGTTCAGATGTGATAATTGTAAAGAATATATCATCAGGATCAGATAGAAGCTAGTCAGTGCCTACACTTTTAAAATTACTTTTATTTTATGACCAACTGCATTATAAATTTTCTCATTACAGTACTTGTACTATAGTATATATTTATTGAATTTTAATCTCAAAAAGTGGAAATTTATCCATTTTGTGCTAAGGTATTTTTCCTTCATGCTTTCAGGTTAGTATCTGCATACAGAGACAAAATGCCAGAAAAATACAAGAAAGATCTGCAAATGAGAATGATTTCAAAATACCGAGTGCATCAAAGAAATATTAGTATGTCTGATAATGATATCACCTTAGGCATCAGCAAATTCTCAAATAAAATACAAAATTTAGTATCAGAGCTAAAAAATGCAAGTGTAAATAATGTTCTGAGTTCAAAGGCATTTGACACTTTATCAACAAAAGAAACTTCAGCATATAGATACCACCAAACAATAAAAGGGGCATTGCTTGCTCAAAATGACTCCCGCGAGATAGCACTAGATGCGAGCATACCAACCTTCCGTGAATTTGTGCGTTTGTGAGGACAAGTGTATGAAAGTTCAGAAAGATTCCTGCAATGAGATTGATTTCACAAATTACCGCTGTGCTCCAAATGAAATATTGTATTCTGCTAATGTCATTAGGCATCAAATACAAAATAAAATAACATACCAGTTGTATTATTTTTTAAGTTAAAAATCAACTCTTAAATAAATGTTCTATTAAACCATTGACAACTTTACTTCAACAAAAAGAAACTTAGCATATTGATACCAACCATACCATAAAAGTGCATTGCCTTTCCTTTTCAACAATCCACCCGCGAGGATGCCCCATAGATGGAGAAACAACCTTCCCTTACATTTAGTAATTTTGTGAGGATAAGTGTTGCAGTTGCTCCGTGATTTTAGTGTTTCAAACGAGGATTATGGAGGAAAATTTCCTGTCTCCATTTCCCCATGTCAGATAAGGGAGATGGCTTAAATGACAAACTGGGAAAGAAAATAAAGAAATCCCAGAGTGTGTATTTACTTACTTTTTGAAAGTGTATAATACAACTACTGAATTGCATGTTTCATTAGACAGAAAATAGGACCCAACTATCCTCCTTCATAAAATTTAATTTCGTTTTAATACTTAGCAGATGTATACCAACCATTTTCTTTCCAACCTATACTGTAATGCATATACCTGCTTATATAAATATTGTACACAGACAGGTAAATGTGTTTTGTTGGTTTAGAAAGACACGTAAGCAAACACTATGACATATTTAAATATGTCATATTATTATTATTATTATAATCAAGGGGGAAGCGCTAAACCCGTAGGATTATACAGCGCCCAGGGGGGATGTGGAAGGCATTCAGGCTTAATTCGGGGAACTGGAGCACAGATTCAATTCCCTAAATCAAGAGCCCCTCACCAACATCAAGGAACCTTCCATGAGGGGTAAATATGTCATAGTGTTTGCTTACGTGTCTTTCTAAACCAACTTGTCGGTATTTATTACCAAGGTTTATACCAAATGTGTTTTGTACAACTGCATTAGTGGAGGCAAGTAGTCTTTGGGATTTAACATGCTTTTTGCAATGTTAACATGATGGGTGGGTGTGGCAATTCACACACCTTAAACTGTAAAATCAGGTTTGCAGACAGATTCAAGGTTACCACTATGTCCACGATATTTAATTTTCCATGCTCGAGATATTCAAATTAAGCAACTTTTAATACTAAAAAAAAAAAAATCACCTGTGCACATTCACTGTTTTTTCTTGTTATCCTCAGACTGAAACATTTTCTGAAGATGAAGAATACTTAAGTGAGCTGATGGGGCTTTCCTTTGCACTCTACAGGAACTGCCAAACTCCACTCCAGAGATCCTTCCACTGCTTCCCTCACTAAAAAATACTTTTCTACATTAAGTCAACATGAGAGAGAGAGAGTTGTCAATGCATATTTTTATGATTTTCTCCTTTTTGGTTATTCACCTGATAATATAAATCAATAATTTATTTAATATTATGAAAAGTAAACTGGATAGGAGAGCAATGTGGCAGATGTTACAAATATGTGGAATAGGTTACCAAAAGCAGTTAAGAGTTTTTAAGAGGATAGTGAGGCTCAGGTTAGAGTATGTAGACGAGAGGGAGATTATTTCCCAGTAAAAGTAGGCCTTAGACAGGGATGTGTGATGTCACCATGGTTCTTCCATATATTTATAGATGAGGTTGTGAGAGACGTGAATGCTCGGGTGTTGGCAAGAGGTGTGGGATTGAGATAGAGAATGTAACACAAAGTGGGAGTTGTCACAGTTGCTTTTTGCTGATGACATTGTGCTTTTGGGAGACTCTAAAGAGGAGTTTCAGAGGTTGGTGAATGAGTTTGGAAGAGTACATAAAAAGTCAATTAAAAGTGAATGTACAAAAGAGCAAGGTGAAGATAAAAAGATTTAGGTAATGAAAGACTGTATATCAAATTAGAGGGAAGGAGTATGGAGGAAGTGAATATATTCAGATATTTGGGAGTGGACTTGTCAGCAGATGGGTCTATGAAAGATGAAGTGAATCATAGAATTGATTAGGGGAAAAAGGTGAGTGGAGCCAAAGAACATTATCCATGGAAGCAAAGAAGAAAATGTATGAGAGTATAGAGGTATCAGTGCTCTTGTATGGGTATGAAGCATGGGTGGTGAATGTTGCAACAAGGAGAAGGCTGGAGGCAATGGAGATGTCATGTCTGAGGGCAATGTGCAGTGCGAGTATAATGCAGAGAATCCGTAGCTTGGAGATTTAGGAGGTGCGGGGTTTCTAAAAGTATTATCCAGAGGGCAGAGAAAGGGTTGTTGAGGTGGTTTAGACATTTAGAGGATGGAACACAAAAGAATGACTTGGAGGACATATAAATATAGTAGAAGGCAGGCAGGGTAGGGTTGTCCTAGGAAGGGTTGGAGGGAGGGGGTAAAAGAGGTTGTGTGTGAGGGGCTTGGACTTTCAGCAAATGTGTGTGAGCATGTTAGATAGGAACAAGTGGAGAGACGAATGATTTTTATAACTTCATGTGCTGTTGGAGTGTGAGCAAAGTAACATTTATGAAGGGATTCAGAAAAACCAGTTAGCTGGACTTAAGTCCTGGAGATGGAACATACAATGCCTGCACTCTAAAGGAGGGGTGGAGATATGTTGCTGTTTTTTAACTGTAGTGTAGGCAGACCTCTGGCAAGACGGTGATGGAGTGAATGATGATGAAAATGTTTCTTTTTTTTTCAGGCTACCCTTCCTTGATGGGAAACTGCCAATATGTTAATAATAAAAAAAAATTAATCCAGCAAGGCAAAAAGCTATTTTAATAATACTGCTTTGTTACGTTAGGAAAATCACAAAAACTTTAACCATAAGAAAAAAGAACAGTCAAATCAATCAGGATTTTTCTTTCAAAATGTTATACAGATTTTTTTTTTTTTTTTAACACGGTGGCCATCTCCCACTGAGGCAGGGTGACCCAGAAAGAAAGAAAATACTTTCATCACCATTCAACACTTTCACCTCACTCATGTGTACTCACTGTCTTTGCAGAGTCAACCAGATATGACAGTTTAGAAGTCCCTCCAAACTGCCAATATCCCAAACCCTTCCTTTAAAGTGCAGGCATTGTACTTCCCATTTCCAGGGCTCAGGTCTGGTTAACTGGTTTCCCTGAATCCCTTCACAAAATATTACCCTTCTCACACTCCAACAGCTCGTCAAGTCCCGAAAACCATTCGCCTCCACTCCTAACACGCTCACGCATGCTTACTGATGTAAAATCCCAGAGTATGTACAGTATTTTGGGCAAGAGTGTTATTTGTTAATTGTTAATAGAGCACAATAATTTTGAAAATACTGTTTTCTATTTTTAATCTACCATATATGTCTGTGTATAAGTCAACCCCTAAAAGCTTGGTGTTAATTCAAGTTAAGGCCTATATGCTTTGGCCTTATTTTCACCTCTGCCATGTATCAGCAGTGTTTATACTGAGCATATTAGTCTACCCCTAGTTTTAGAAAGATTTTTCTTATGGGTAAAAAGTCAACTTATATATTGACATATGTGGCATTTACATTAAAATCTTTGATTATACTGTACCATGATAGTAAAAGAAATGTTAGTTTATTAATCTTGCCTTACACCATCAAATATATAGGCTTGGCTCTTATCTTCCTACAGTCCATAAAAAAAATAAACCCTGTACATACTAGCTACAGCCTCCTCGCCAGAATTCCCCACAAAAATTATGATAGGGGAACATGTAGCAGATGTTGCAATATATGCCCTACAGGAAGGTTCCTGATTTGGTAGAGGGGCTCTTGATTTAGGGAATTGGATCTGTGCTCCGTTCCCGAATTAAGCTGAAGCCTTCACATATCCCCCCCAACCCCCCAGGCGCTATAATCCTCGGGTTTAGCGCTTCCCCCTTGATTATAATAATAATAATGCAAATATATGGCAGGTTACTAAAAGCAGTAAAGAGTTTGTAAGCATAGTGAGGATCAGGTTAGGGTATGTAGGAGGGTGGGGAACCATTTTCCAGCGAAAGTAGAACTTACAGGAATATGTATTCTCTAATATATAGTACATATGGGGTTGTAAAGAAACGACTGCTATGGTGTTAAGAGATTGAGACATTGGATCTGATGCAAGTTATCACAGTTATTTCTTGCCTATGATGCAGTTCTTTTGGGAGATTCTTAACATTACAAATTTGGGAGAGTATGTAAAAGAGCAAGGTGATGCATTGAATATCAGAATGAAGGAAGTAAAATGTATTTAGAAATTTGGGAATAGACACGTCAGCAGATGGGTCTAAAAAGACTCGGTAAACCATGTAAAATATATTTTTTCTAAGTTAATACATGTACATTATTTAAAATAAGGACTCTTTGGCATTAAATTTTCCTTTAAGTTTAGCTGATGACCTATAAATTTTTCTTCTCTCTTCTTGATGCTCCTTCTGTTGCTGTCTTAAACGTTCAAACTTTGGTGCCTTTTTGATGACATAATTCATTTCCAGGCTACCAAAGGTATGTTGCTTGACGTTTTCAGAACTGTCTTCCATGTCAAGGCGGTCAGCTAAGGTCATTCTGGATGAAATTGTGGAAAACGTTAAATATTTCACCTTCAAAGTTAGTGTCATTAATGTTTAAATAAAACAGAGAATTAAGGAAATGTTAAACATAAGATAAAACTGTAAACATAGTGCTCATTTGACTTTAAACATACTCTACTCCATGTTTATGTAAATTCTTATTTGAAATGCAAAGTACTGTACAATACTACTGTAGTTGTAAGTGCACCAATTCTTCAATAATCAATGCATAAATGTGTATTATTTTTTAAGAAGCAATTAGGTTGCTAATGCACTCAGTGGCCACTTCATTAGGTACATCTCTAGTATTGAGTAGGATTTCTCCTTTGCCCCCAGAACAGCCTGAATTCTTTGTGGCATGAATTCGACAAGGTGTTGGAAACATTCCTTAGAGATCCTGGTCTACGTTGATATGATAGAATCACAGTTGCTGCAGATCTGTTGCCTGCACATTCATGTTGCAAATTTTCCATTCCACCACATCCCAAAGATTTATGCCAAATTCTGACCCTACCATCTACATATTGCAGCAGTAATTGCAATTCATCAGACTAGTCAATATTTCTCCAATCTTCAACTGTCCAGTTTTGATGAGCCTGTGCCCCTCTTGGCCTCAATTTCCTGTTCTTAGATGACAGGAGTAGAACCCAGTGTAGTCCTATCCACTTCAGCTTGAACCAGTCTGGCCCTTCTCTGACCTTATTATCAAGGAATTTTTGCCCATTGAACTACCACTAACCAAATTGTTTTGTGGTTTTTCACACCTTTCTCTGTAAACTTGAGTCTGTTGTGTGAAAAATACCAGGAGATTAGCAGTTTGAGCAATTCAAACCACCCCCACCTAACTCCAACATTCATTCCACTGTCAAAATTACCTAGATCACATTTCTTCACCATCCTGAGGTACAGTCTGAACAACAACTAAACCTCTTAACCATATCTGCATGGTTTTAAGTATTGAGGTGCTGCATTGTGATTGGATGATTAGATATTTGCATTAATGAGCAGATGCACCTAATAAGGTGGCCACAGAGTGTACATATGATCATGAAAATAGTAACCATGACAGCCTACTTACACTGATAAATGAATAAATAAAAATTACTATGTCAGAAAAACAAACTAAAATTGACATTTTTGCACAATATAAACGGCCAACATTAAAAAAAAAAAAAAAAAAAAAAAAAAAACTCACTTTCTAAGTTTTTTTCTGTTGGCTTTTAATTCAGCTAGAGAATCAGCAGAAGTAAAGTTCAGGCTCGTGCTTGTATCCATTTTCTTCTCGACAGAGCCTTGTACTCTTGTCAATGTTTCATCATTACTTCTCAGTTTTTGTTTCCATGTCTCCCTTTCCGCTTTAGAATCTTGCTTAACTTTGTAGTCACTCTTGACTTTCTCCTGAAAAATGATGGTCAGATAAACTTCAACATGGCCTTTCAAGGGGAAAATGGGATGCCTTGATGCTGATGAAAGGGTCTTGATCCAAGGAACTGGAGCTAACACTCCCTCCCTTGGATCAAATGCAATACGTATTTCTTGTTCCCCAGGTACTGCAAGACCCATGCGACCTTCATACATCTCATGAATATAATAATTCATTACATGAGATACCTGTAATATTGGAAGCTACCACAGTAACTTAAGTACAGTACAGTATCCCCAAATGTTACATATATCTTCAAGTATAGTGAAACTCCAGTGGTTGAACATTGGACCTTGAACAAACTGGAGCCCAAACAATTTTGTTTAGAAAAAACTGACCCGGTCTTTGAACATTTTTCCGAGTCCAGACACGCTGATTTGTTTAAAATTCAGTTGCAAAAAGCTTTACAGGGAAGCCCTGTTTCAAATGTTCTGAAGTGACCTCTGACACTGACCTAACTCTCAAGAGACTTTTGGAAGAGTCAGTTCAACATCCTCTAGTTTGTGAGGCTGATAATTAAAGCCTGGGAAATACCGTTTCAGACACTGAACTTTTCGTAGTTTGAACATCACCTGGGAACCAATTAAGTTCAAACACTGGGGTTGCACTGTATTCTTATAATATTTGGGGATTGAAAATATCAGAATTTAGGATAAATTTAGTAATATGAACATCTGTAATGTCCTATTTCAAAAATTTATAAATTATAATTTATAAAAAATTGCTTTTATAAATTATAAAGGGCTCTTGATTCATGGAACTGGACCTGCCTCCCATTAACTCAAGGCACTGATGACCCCTACAGGTTTAGCACTGCCCCATGTATATAATAATTATATAAATTAATTGCTTTCCACTTGAATGCATTAAAAATTTTCATTTTGATAAAATATCCTCTGAAAACACAATTAGACTAGAGATAATACATAACTTGCATTAGTAAAATAATGGAATGTGGTAAAAATCTGAATTACAGTATGTATAAACTATATCAAAAAGAAATAATGACAGAACATTTTGAAAATATTCAGAAAAATGATGCTTTAAAAGTCTAGTTTCTGCAGGTGATGCATACATCAAGCTTTAATAAAAAACATGTCATGTTAGAATAATGATGGAGACAGTATTGTATTTAAAACTGAGGATAAATGTGACTAGAAAAATTATTATTGACCACAGGGTTTTTGCAATGAAATAGAAAAATTAAAAAATGTCCTTAACCCTTTGAGGGTCCGTCCCGTAGATCTACGGCATGAGCTCAGCTCACTCTGATAAACTGTGAGTGGTACATTTGGGCCTAGATATAACAGAATACATCTATGTGGTATGTGTGCACCACATAAAACAGATCCTGCAGCACGCTGTGTATAATGAGAGAAAAAACTGAAATCATGATTTTTCGATTAAAACAGCGACTTTGCAGTGTTTTTTATAGTTCTATTTGCGATTTCTTGGTCTCATTTGATAGAATGGAAGACATATTACAGAAATAGAGATGATTTTGATTGGTTTTAGCACTGGAAATGGCTTGAAACTGAGCTCAAAGTAGCAGAAATGTTAAATTTTTGCCGATATTCAAGAGTAAACAAACGACCTCATACGTCTAATACACGCCAGCTGGTGGGTCTAATATGCATTCACAAATATGGTGATGATATTTATACAATTATCAAAATGGAATTTATTTGTAAAGCCTCAAAACGTAACTAATGAACAGAGGAAATGTTACTTTAGTTCCATGAATACCTACATTGTCTATTCTGGACCCTATTTTGAAATTAGGAATATTTTGAACTTTGTGTTAAATTGACCAAATTAACAATTTCAGATCACTTTAATTTGTAGTTGAAACAGTTGACTTGGCGATTTCTTGTGCTCAATCGATAGAATAGAAGTAATACTAGTGAAATAGCTAAGAATTTGGTTGACTGGAATAATGTAATTGGCCTAAAATGGGAGTTAAAGTCGGCAAAATCGCCGATTCGTAAATATCGCTAACACATCAAAATTCGCGAGAGCATAATTTCGTCAATTTTCCACCAACTTTCGTACTTTTTGTTTGATTACCTTCACAAAAAGATTCTCTACCATTTCATAAGAAAAAATAAAATTTTTTTTTTGAAAATTCTTGGACACTGGGGCACCACTTCAGATTTGGGCCTTGGACCCTGAAGGGGTTAAATACAAGTAACTTCCTGTATAATCAAGAATTTTAAATAATGTACTTTAAAGATGTTTCACCCGTAAACGGTCCAAACGTATATATACGTTTTTTCAACATTTGAAAGTATGTAAAAAAAAGTAGATCGTCTTTTTGTTTTTTTATATTTGAAAATGTGTAAAAAAAACTTTGATCTACTTTTTTTTTGTTATATTTGAAAGTATGTAAAAAAAACGTAGATCTACTTTTGTAGCACTACACATGTGAACGTAGATCTGCTTGGACCGTTTACGGGTTAAAGTGAATTTTGAGCATTGTAAAAGTTAAATTGAGCAACATAAATTTGATGTGCTTACCTCTGGTTCCTCATCTCCCATGTCTGACATAATAGAATCTGAATCTGAACTATCATCATCCAAATCTCCCTGAAAAAATAATTAATTTATACAGATACAGCACCTAGTATTTTATTTGTTCACTCAGTGTAAGTCAAAATTACTGGTTATTAATTGGACTACCAACAAAAATGTTAGAAATACAACACAAGAAAAAGTTTTCATAGCAGACATTTTGTTCATAATCAGCTGTATCAAGTCTACCTCTCTTGAAACCAAGAGGTTCTTTAGGTGCTAGGGACTGGCATGATACCAGGGACATTAGTGGAGGCACAGTTCATATGCTCATCATGGTTAGGGAGAATGAAGAATATTGAGGAATAAAGGGACAGAACAAAGGATTTATTGTTCCTGGTGAATATCCCAACTAGAAATCCCTGTAAATTAAAAGCTTGTTCATGTCTGTGCAAAAACCCCTTCCCCAGTTATCCAACGCAAGGCAGCACAAAGGATAAACTCTCAGGCAGAACCAATAGCCCTAAAAGAAAAAGCCCCATCCAATTTAGCCATACAACACAAGAAGGCCCATAGAGTGAATTTACTGGTAGGGAAAAACAGATCCTGATGTAGTTCCTAACTATCTAAGACAGGACAAATTGCAGGACAACCCCTGTGGCAGATCAAGCCAGTGATGCATAAGATTCCTAATATAAGATGTCCTATCCCCAAATGAACAACCTCAGAGTGCAGCCCATATGGCAACCCTTCTAGTAATAACATAAAATTAAGCAATAAACCAGTATAGGTCGGGCAGATAGAGATAACAATATCATCCATTCTACTCTGTGAATTTATCTTACCCGAGCTCTTAAGAATTCTTGTTCCTCTTCTTCTTCTTGCAGTTTCTGTTTCTTTTTCTTCTTATCCATTCTACTGAGCACAGGGTTTAATAATCTGAGGAAATAAAGATAAAATAAAGTTGTTTCACATTACTTATGAATTTGCGAGACACCTATTTTGTAACCCCAACATCCATAACATAAATACTGTATACAGAAGACCCCCATATCTGCGGGTCTGGTATCCGCTGTTTACCGTGGCCCAAAAATAATCCTTAATTTTGCTTAATAACGGCCTCAAAAGTGCAAAAGCATTGATGGCGGAAGTTCTCCAAAGCCTAAGAGAAGCTGTGAAATGCTTCCCATCAGTGAAAAAGTGATAATTCTCCACTTATTGTGCATGATAAATTAATATAACTTTATAATAGGTATGTATAGGACTTACATATAGGCTCGCTACTATCCGTGGTTTCAATATCCATGTCATCAGTAGCCTTGATCTAATAAAATCCATATTCATATGCATTACGTAGATATTGATCCTCAAAATAATACACACCTAAACTCATATGAATCCTTATCAATTTGGAAATCAGCACTGGAAAACAGTTCCCCAAATCTATCATCTTTCAACAGTGCCTCTGCTGTTGCACCCTTCTTCTTTTTCTTTTTTTCCTCCTCTTCCTCCATCAACCTCTCAAACAGTTCACAGTTAACATTTGGAAGTTTCTGGAATTAAAGAATTTATATATTACAGTATACATTATAACACTTAAATGAAGAATTTTTTTTTTTTTTTCAACAAGTCGGTCATCTCCCACCGAGGCAGGGTGACCCAGAAAAGAAAGAAAATCCCCAAAAAGAAAATACTTTCATCATCATTCAACACTCACCACACTCACAAATTATCACTGTTTTTGCAGAGGTGCTCAGAATACAACAGTTTAGAAGCATATACGTATAAAGATACACAACGTATCCCTCCAAACTGCCAATATCCCAAACCCCTCCTTTAAAGTGCAGGCATTGTACTTCCCATTTCCAGGACTCAAGTCCGACTATATGAAAATAAACGGTTTCCCTGAATCCCTTCACTAAATATTACCCTGCTCACACTCCAACAGATTGTCAGGTCCCAAGTACCATTCATCTCCATTCACTCCTATCTAACACGCTCATGCACGCTTGCTGGAAGTCCAAGCCCCTCGCCCACAAAACCTCCTTTACCCCCTCTCTCCAACCCTTTCGAGGACGACCCCTACCCCTCCTTCCTTCCCCTATAGATTTATATGCTTTCCATGTCATTGTACTTTAATCCATTCTCTCTAAATGACCAAACCACCTCAACAACCCCTCTTCTGCCCTCTGGCTAATGCTTTTATTAACTCCACACCTTCTCCTAATTTCCACACTCCGAATTTTCTGCATAATATTTACACCACATATTGCCCTTAGACAGGACATCTCCACTCCCTCCAACCATCTCCCCTCTGTTGCATTTACCACCCAAGCTTCACATCCATATAAGAGTGTTGGTACTACTATACTTTCATACATTCCCTTCTTTGCCTCCATAGATAACGTTTTTTGACTCCACATATACCTCAACGCACCACTCACCTTTTTTCCCTCATCAATTTTATGATTAACCTCATCCTTCATAAATCCATCCGCCAACACGTCAACTCCCAAGTATCTGAAAACATTCACTTCTTCCATATTCCTCCTCCCCAATTTGATATCCAATTTTTCTTTATCTGAATCATTTGATACCCTCATCACCTTACTCTTTTCTATGTTCACTTGCAACTTTCTACCTTTACACACATTCCCAAACTCATCCACTAACCTTTGCAATTTTTCTTTAGAATCTCCCATAAGCACAGTATCATCAGCAAAAAGTAACTGTGTCAATTCCCATTTTGAATTTGATTCCCCATAATTTAATCCCACCCCTCTCCCGAACACCCTAGCATTTACTTCTTTTACAACCCCATCTATAAATATATTAGACAACCATGGTGACATTACACATCCCTGTCTAAGACCTACTTTTACCGGGAAGTATTCTCCCTCTCTTCTACACACCCAAACCCTGAGCCTCACTATCTCATAAAAACTCTTTACAGCATTTAGTAACTTACCACCTATTCCATATACTTGCAACATCTGCCACATTGCTCCTCTATCCACTCTATCATATGCCTTTTCTAAATCCATAAATGCAATAAAAACTTCCCTACCTTTATCTAAATACTGTTCACATATATGCTTCAATGTAAACACTTGATCTACACATCCCCTACCCACTCTGAAACCTCCCTGCTCATCCGCAATCCTACATTCTGTTTTACCTCTAATTCTTTCAATTATAACCCTACCGTATACTTTTCCTGGTATACTCTGTAAAAATTATAGAGGAATAAGTTTACTATCTCTTTTGTCCCCTTTCCCTTTATATAAAGGAACTATACATGCTCTCCGCCAATCCCTAGGTACCTTCCCCTCTTTCATACATTTATTAAACAAAAGTACCAACCACTCCAACACTATATCCCCCCTGCTTTTAACATTTCTGTCATGATCCATCAGTTCCAGCTGCTTTACCCCCTTTCATTCTACGTAATGCCTCACGTACCTCCCCCACACTTACATTCTGCTCTTCTTCACTCCTAAAAGATGGTATACCTCCCAGGCCAGTGCATGAAATTTACCGCCTCCCTTTCTTCCTCAACATTTAAAAGTTCCTCAAAATATTCTCGCCATCTACCTAATACCTCCCTCTCCCCATCTACTAACTCCCTACTCTGTTTTTAACTGACAAATCCATACTTTCCCTAGGCTTTCTTAACTTGTTTAACTCACTCCAAAATTTTTTCTTATTTTCATTAAAATTTCTTGACAGTGCCTCTCCCACTCTTTCATCTGCTCTCCTTTTGCACTCTCTCACCACTCTCTTCACCTTTCTTTTACTCTCCATATTACTCTGCTCTTCTTATAACACTTCTGCTTTGTAAAAACCTCTCATAAGCTACCTTTTTCTCTTTTATCGCACCCCTTACTTCATCATTCCACCAATCACTCCTCTTTCCTCCTGCCCCCACCCTCCTATAACCACAAACTTCTGCCCCACATTCTAATACTGCATTTTTAAAACTATTCCAACCCTCTTCAACCCCCCCACTACTCATCTTTGCACTAGCCCACCTTTCTGCCAATAGTCGTTTATATCTCACCCGAACTCCTCCTCCCTTAGTTTATACACTTTCACCTCCCTCTTACTTGTTGTTGCCACCTTCCTCTTTTCCCATCTACCTCTTACTCTAACTGTAGCTATAACTAAATAATGATCCGATATATCAGTTGCCCCTCTATAAACATGTACATCCTGGAGCCTACCCATCAACCTTTTATCCACCAATACATAATCTAACAAACTACTTTCATTACGTGCTACATCATACCTTGTATATTTATTGATCCTCTTTTTCATAAAATATGTATTACTTATTACCAAATCTCTTTCTACACATAGCTCAATTTAAGGCTCCCCATTTACATTTACCCATGGCACCCCAAATTACACACTTAAAATAGTTGGACAACATGCTATATTAATTTCAACAATAACAAGACAATAAATAAGTGCCATTGATGCACTGCTAATGTAAGTCTAATTGCCTTGGTTTGAATTCCTCGCTGGTTATCTTCAGAGATTTTTTGCCTCACTTTACGCTTCATGAAATCATTATAATCAAATGGATTAGCAATTAGCTTAGCCTTGTTGTAGAGCCGAACATCAATGTAATATCCATGCATCACAGCACGAAGCATGTTGCTACCTGCAAAAAAAACAAAAAAAAAAAAAAATCTCAGCACATAATGATATATTAAGACAACATAGTATGCATGAAATTATACATAGAACATAGCTAGTTTTGTTCATGCCCAATCAGGCAAAAGTCTAATCTCATCAGGTCAAGATAATTTTTTAATGAAAATATAAACTATAAAGCCTAGGGAACATATGGATTTGTCAGTTAAAAACAGAGTAGGGGAGTTAGTAGATGGGGAGAGGGAGGTATTAGGTAGATGGCGAGAATATTTTGAGGAACTTTTAAATGTTGAGGAAAAAAGGGAGGCGGTAATTTCATGCACTGGCCATGGAGGTACGTGAGGCATTATGTAGAATGAAAGGGGATAAAGCTGCTGGAACTGATGGGATCATGACAGAAATGTTAAAAGCAGGGGGGGGGGATATAGTGTTGGAGTGGTTGGTACTTTTGTTTAATAAATGTATGAAAGAGGGGAAGGTACCTAGGGATTGGTGGAGACCATGTATAGTCCCTTTATATAAAGGGAAGGGGGACAAAAGAGATTGTAAAAATTATAGAGGAATAAGTTTACTGAGTATACCAGGAAAAGTGTACGGTAGGGTTATTATTGAAAGAATTAGAGGTAAGACAGAATGTAAGATTGCGGATGAGCAAGGAGGTTTCAGAGTGGGTAGGGGATGTGTAGATCAAGTGTTTACATTGAAGCATATATGTGAACAGTATTTACATAAAGGTAGGGAAGTTTTTATTGCATTTATGGATTTAGAAAAGGCATATGACAGAGTGGATAGGGGAGCAATGTGGCAGATGTTGCAAGTACAGTGGTCCCTCAATAATCGTCCATAATCCGTTCCTGGAAGTGGGACTATTATCAAAATGGACGATTTTCGAATCAATTTTCCCCATAAGAAATAATGTAAATCCAATTAATTCGTTCCAGACACCCAGAAGTATCAGCAAAAAATTTTTTTTTTTACCTAAAAGATAGATTTACATGCACAAAAGAATGAACATTCAACATGACAGTTACCTTTATTGAAGGCTGTTGTTGATGAATGGAAGACAGAGAGGAGGAGAGAGGGAAGAGAGGTTATTTGGAAGGGGAATCCCCCTCCATAAGGACTCTAGGGCACTAATAAAATGTATAAATGAACATTGGTAATAGGGGTAGTTGATGAGTGGAACAGTCTGCCTAGTAGGGTGATCGAAGCTAAAACATCGGGTAGTTTCAAATTTAGGTTGGATAAATACACGAGTGAAAGGGGTTGGATTTGAGTCGGACTTGCACCTGAATTTATTGCTTGGGTAGCATTTGTTCTGTTAGTGGGTTGGATTTGTGAAGGACCGGCCTAGTATGGGCCAGCAAGCCTGTTCCAGTGTTCCTACTTTCTTAAGTTCTTATTTAACATCACACTTACCAGTAGGGTGATCGAGGCTAGGACCTTGGGTAGCTTTAAGAAGAGATTGGACAAATATACGAGTTGGAGGAGCTGAGTTTGATTTGTATCATTGGGTACGGGAGTAAATTCTTGGGTAGCTTTGGGTGGAGGTCATTTTGATAAGGACTTGCCTTATATGGGCCAGTAAACCTGCAGTGTTCTTCCATTGTTATGTTCTTATTGGCTATTTGTGTGAGGGAGGGATGGCAAGTTTATTGTTGGAGAATATGACACTAATATCAACTCTATGGCTTATTTATCTATCACAATTCAACTAATATGACATAATAAACAATATTAATAACATAGAAACATGGAATATACTCTAGAATGAATAAAATAAGTCATTACGTATGTCACGAGAGGCGTTGTGTTGTGTTGTTGTTGGGTATATAAGGGCCACTGAGTGTAAGCCGTCCATAATGGTGGTGAAGCAGCAGCTGAGTCGGCGGTGGTTTTTGTAGCCCTATATAACTCCAACAACATTGGAGGAGATGGTAGAATCGCTGAACCACTGAAGAAGGAACCCACTACGCCCTTCTACCACTATTACAACTGTTACCACCATCACTACTACCTTCTACCACCATCACTACTATCTTCTACCACCATCATTACTACCTTCTACCACCATCACTACTACCTTCTACCACCATCACTACGTAGCACCAAAGAAAGCTTCTAGTGCCAGCCTTTTGGTAAAGAATGTGAGAAAACACATAATTTATGAAAAAGTTTGTAGAAAAATACAAAGATGGTGGTAGAGTGGAAGCAGTTGTGATAGTGGTTGATGAACATAAGAAAGGAGGATCACTGCAGCAGGCCTCTGTTGGCCCATGCTCGGCAGGTCCTTTACAATTCATCCCACTAACGAAACATTTTCCCAACCCAGTCCTCAATGCTACCCAAGAAATAAGCTATGATAACTCTATCCACTCAATTGCAAGTCCCAAATGAGTGGATAGAGTTATCATAGCTTATTTCTTGGGTAGCATTGAGGACTGGGTTGGGAAAATGTTTCATTAGTGGGATGAATTGTAAAGGACCTGCCGAGCATGGGCCAACAGACCTGCTGCAGTGATCCTCCTTTCTTATGTTCATCAACCACTATCACAACTGCTTCCACTCTACCACCACCATCTTTGTATTTTTCTACAAACTTTTTCCTAAATTATGTGTATCTCACATTCTTTACCAAAGGGCTGGCACTAGAAGTTTTATTTGGAGCCATGATAGCTTATTTAGCACTTGCAAGCACTAAAATCAATGGAATATTATGAAATATTTCGTAGGAGCATGTGAGGGGACCGTCACTCACTGGTAAACAATGGCACACTGGCTGGGAAGGAAAGGCCGAGGCGGCTCAGAGCGTGAGTACGCGTCCGGGACGAAGGACTATTAGGACTATTAGCGAGTTACCGGACCATTTGCGAGCCAATATTTTGACGAAAAAACAGGACTATTTCCGAAATGGACGACTTTCAGGCCGGACGATTATTGAGGGACCACTGTATATGGAATAGGTGGTAAGTTACTACATGCTGTAAAGAGTTTTTATGAGGGTAGTGAGGCTCAGGTTAGGGTGTGTAGAAGAGAGGGAGACTACTTCCTGGTAAAAGTAGGTCTTAGACAGGAATGTGTAATGTTACCATGGTTGTTTTGTATATTTATAGATGGGGTTGTAAAAGAGGTAAATGCTAGGGTGTTCGGGAGAGGGGTGGGATTAAATTATGGAGAATCAAATACAAATTGGGAATTGACACAGTTACTTTTTGCTGATGATACTGTGCTTATGGGAGATTCTAAAGAAAAATTGCAAAGGTTAGTGGATGAGTTTGGGAGTGTGTGTAAAGGTAGAAAGTTGAAAGTGAACATAGAAAAGAGTAAGGTGATGAGGGTATCAAACGAGTTAGATAAAGAAAAATTGGATATCAAATTGGGGAGGAGTATGGAAGAAGTGAATGTTTTCAGATACTTGGGAGTTGACGTGTCGGCGGATGGATTTATGAAGGATGAGGTTAATCATAGAATTGATGAGGGAAAAAAGGCGAGTGGTGCGTTGAGGTATATGTGGAGTCAAAAAACGTTATCTATGGAGGCAAAGAAGGGAATGTATGAAAGTATTGTAGTACCAACACTCTTATATGGGTGTGAAGCTTGGGTTGTGAATGCAGCAGCGAGGAGACGGTTGGAGGCAGTGGAGATGTCCTGTCTAAGGGCAGTGTGTGGTGTAAATATTATGCAGAAAATTCGGAGTGTGGAAATTAGGAGAAGGTGTGGAGTTAATAAAAGTATTAGTCAGAGGGCTGAAGAGGGGTTGTTGAGGTGGTTTAGTCATTTAGAGAGAATGGATCAGAGTAGAATGACATGGAGAGCATTTAAATCTGTAGGAGAAGGAAGGCGGGGTAGGGGTCGTCCTCAAAAAGGTTGGAAGGAAGGGGTAAGGGAAGTTTTGTGGGCGAGAGGCTTGGACTTCCAGCAGGCGTGCATGAGCGTGTTCGATAGGAGTGAATGGAGACGAATGGTATTTGGGACCTGACGATCTGTTGGAGTGTGAGCAGGGTAATATTTAGTGAAGGGATTCAGGGAAACCGGTTATTTTTATATAGCCGGACTTGAGTCCTGGAAATGGGAAGTACAATGCCTGCACTCTAAAGGAGGGATTCGGGATATTAGCAGTTTGGAGGGATATGTTGTGTATCTTTATACGTATATGCTTCTAAACTGTTGTGATTGTGTGTGAGTGAGGTGAAAGTGTTGAATGATGAAAGTATTTTCTTATTGGGGATTTTCTTTCTTTTTGGGTCACCCTGCCTCAGTGGGAGACGGCTGACTTGTTGAAAAAAAAAAAATTTTAACTTAGTTTATCATCAAAATGAAAACATCTAGGTATACAGTACAGTTATTTATAAAATACTGTGCTTAAAAATTACTGAAACAACAATAAGGATCATGTTTAGAAAATAGGATAAAGAACAGCTGTAATATTGTTCAACTGTATTAAACATAAAAGAAATATGTTCTAGGGATCATCCTAGAAAAGGATAGAGGGAGGGGGTAAAAGAGGTTTTGTGTGCAAGGGGCTTGGACATACAGCAGGCATGTGTGAGCATGTTAGATAAGAGTGAATGGAGACAAATTGTTTTTGGGACTTGACAAGCTGTTGGAGTGTTAGCAGGGTAATATTTTGTGAAGGGACTCAGGGAAACCAGTTAACTGGACTTTAGTCCTGGAGGTGGGAAGTACATACAATGCCCACATTTTAAAGGAGGGGTTTGGGATGTTGACTGTTTGGAGTGGCATCTGAACTGTCATATTTGGACACCTCTGCAAAGACAGTGATTGTGTGAATGATGGTGAAAATGTTGAATGATAGTGAGTGTTTTTCTTTTTGGGGTCACCCTGCCTCGTTGGTTGCAAGAAAAAAAGCGTGTGCAACAAAGAAGACATGAGTTGGACTGGTAAATAGATGATCACAGAGCCAAATCTCAACAGATGCAGTTGTTTAGAAGCTTCTCGGATTTTTGTAACAAATGCAGTCACACAAAGATGAGGAAGCTACAGTATTGCCACCACACTATCACTCATTAAACAAGCATCACCCTGCCTAACACCAGACATGACTAGATGACACATATAAGAACAAAAGAATGAAGGAAACTGCAGCAGACCTACTGGCCCACATTAGGCTGGTCCAACTCAAATTCATCCTTCTCAGCCACAAATTTTTTTTAACACACCAGCTGTCAACCATTGAGGCAGGGTGACCCAAAAAAGAGGAAATTAAAGTTTTTATTCTTTTTACATTCAGTAATTTATACAGAAGAAGGAATTACTAGCCCCTTGCTCCTGGCATTTTAGTTGCCTCTTATGACACGCATGGCTTACAGAGGAAGGATTCTTCTCCACTCTCCCACGGAGAATTCACATATTTATCCAACTTATTTTTAAAGTTACTCAAGATTTTTCAGCCCTCTAACCTCACTGCCACTCAGGTGCTTTCCTGACCATTTTAGGCTTATGTCTTCCTATCCATATGTACCAGTACATTTGAAGTGACCAAGGTCCCAGGACAAACTTTTCCAATAAAATGTTCTAGTGTTTGCATTTTGTGTGTTTTCCAGCTATTATTAATACAATATATCAATGTCAAGAAAACAACTCACCAATTAGGTCATGGAGGCCAAGCTGCTTTAGTTCATCCTCTGTGACAAACTTATAATCATCATACTGAGCTGGAGCATCTTCTTCCTCCAACTCTTCAATAAGTGCATCAAGGTGAGAACACCACTTGGGTGCAGCACCAAGGCTCTGAAATTGATACTACGAATTTTACTGTGATCACATAATCCAGCTAAGGAGAAAATATTACTTTTAGGAGAGACATTATGATGAAAACATCAGTTTAAAAACACCGTAATATCACTATCTTTTAAAATATGATCAATTTATATTTCTCTCACCAATTTCCTTTACAAAATTATATTACAGAGAGTGATAGTATTTTATACTACTTGGTGATTTTGTTATTCCAAATGTTCAGAAGACAAGAGTTGAAAAGTCTCATAAAAAATGCCCACTCTCTCAATCACTACATTTTTAATTTGAATTTCAGTGGCATAGCTTCTATCTCCTCCAATATTTTAACCACCTACTATTTAGCCATTTTACCAATAAATACTTTATCGGCTTGTATGGCTTGACTGTTTACACGTCTGATATATAATGTTTCAATGTGGATCATACAATGAAGTTTAGTTTTCTTCTTTATGTCCCACCAGCCTCAATCACCAAATATCAATAATCAGATTTCTCTAATCTATATTTACTATCAGAAACGGATGGATTCCTTATGCTGTGTATGGTTATTTAGACTGCATACACTGTAAAAGTATATGCAATCTAAATAACCTATCCAGCATAGCAAGTAAGTGATACAAAATAGTAGTAATGGGTCCAAAAGATCAATCAAGGTGAACATTATTTCTTGTACCAAATATTTTTCCTAGGTGCATTAACATACTAAAAATTTCAATATAATTTAGGTTCTCTGAATATCTGAGTGTGTATTCAATGCACCTTCCTGGTTCTGTCTTTTGACTTTTAGTCAGCTAATGCAGTTAGTTCCTAGCCTTTTGGACTGTTCCATATTTACCTTTAACTTTAACTACCTCTTCACCTAGCTCATTCCAATGGTTCACCTTCTTTACACTGGCAAAATATTGTATTTTCTAAACACTGTGACTGATCCAGGTGTGTGGCTTCTATCCTAGTTCTGATCACTTTAATGTCAAGCTAAAGTTTTCCTGTCTGTTCTGGAAATACAGTAGGGCCCCACTTATACGACAGGTTAGGTTCCAGGCTACTGCCGGAAAGCAGACTTCGCCGGAAAGCAGAACGCCATTTTTTTCCACTTATAAATGCATATAAATGCCAGATAACAAGCTTACACTAACATATATTAAGTTAGCAATATAACATAGGCATAAAAAAAGAATAAAAAGTAAAATACACATACAGTACACTCATTATTTACCTCAAAATATTCATAGTCTTAATGTAGGGCAAAAGGTGAGTAGCATTTACTATAAGAAGCTAGGTGTGGTAGCCCTCCTGGCCACCCCCACCCCACACATAATATATGACGATGCTTAGAGTGATAAAATGTATATACAGTGCACTTATTACTTACCTTAAAATATTTGTAGTCTTAATGTAGGGTGAAAGGTGAAAAGTATTTATTTGTAGAAAGTGGTGTGGTAGGTAGGACAGTGTAGGGAAGCCAGCCTGGCCACCCCACCCACTATGTAAACAAACAGACGATGCGTCTGGTTATGGTTCATAAACATTCATACAGACACCTTACATTGTGTACAACTTGTCTCCACAGTGGTACAGTAGAATAAATAAAGACCAACACTTCCATTCTCATGTAATTTTTAGAAGGAATGATGCTCTGACAAATTATTATTACAAATGATTATTGTTACAAGTTATTATTATTACAAATTATTATTGCAAATTATTATAATCATAATAAAAAAGAAGCACTAAACCCACAAGGATCATGAATTGCTATATACAGTGCAACCTCTACTTGCGAGTGTGTCCATGTGCGAGTTTTTCCAAATACGAGCAGTCGATGGGTCGATTTTTTGCTTCCATACGCGAGCAAAATTTCCACATGCAAACAGACCTCAAGGCAGGTTCCGTGACACTGGTGAGGGGCTCTTGCTCTTGATCTCGGAAATTGTATCTCATTTGTTTGTTGGACTATCTTATTGAAACTTGGGCAATGTATGATGGAAAGATGTTTCTTAACATGCACCAAAAATGAAAGAAATCTAAGCATAAATAATGGAGTTACTTTTCAGCAATTAGCCACTCCTTAGCGGTAATTTCGAATAGTTTTTATGGTTGTATTCTCGTTTGTTTGGTCTCATTTGATAGAATAGAAGATATATTACAGAAATAGATATGATTTCACGACGAAAGTACCTTGAAATAGAGCTCAACCTAGGAGAAATGGTCCATTGCTTAGCTGTTTCAGAGTAAACAAATGGCGTCACTGTCCATTCCAATATGCAGTCGTGAATGGGTTGATATTATTTATACAATTATTGCAATAAGGAATAACAGTAAATCTTATATTTTTTGTGTGAATAAAAATTACAAATTATTTATGTAATAATAATAGTAATAATAATATGTATAATAATAATACATATAATAATAATAATAATAGTATAATTCTTTCTTTCAACGTACCAGCCGTATCCCACCGAAGTGGGGTGGCCCAAAAGGAAAAACGAAAGTTTCTCCTTTCAAATTTAGTAATATATACAGGAGAAGGGGTTACTAGCCCCTTGCTCCTGGCATTTTAGTCGCCTCTTACGACACGCATGGCTTACAGAGGAAGAATTCTGGTCCACTTCCCCATGGAGATAAGAGGAAATAAACAAGAACAAGAACTAGAAAGAAAATAGAAGAAAACCCAGAGGGGTATGTATGTATATATATGCTTGACCTAAGTGTATGTAGAAGTAGCAAAACGTACCTGAAATCTTGCATGTTTATGAAACAGAAAAAAGAACACCAGCAATCCTACCATCATGTAAAACAATTACAGGCTTTTGTTTTACACTCACTTGGCAGGACGGTAGTACCTCCCTGGGCGGTTGCTGTCTACCAACCTACTACTTAGGTAGTATAATAATATAATACAATAATACAGTGGACCCCCGCCTTACAATATTAATCCGTTCACGAGAGCTCATCGTAAGCTGAAATTATCATATGGTGAATTAATTTTCCCCATAAGAAATAATGGAAATCAAATTAATCCGTGCAAAACACCACAAAGTATGAAAAAAAAAATTTTTTACCACATGAAATATTAATTTTAATACACACAAACTTAAGAAGACATGCACAATTAATACTCTACTAAGAACAGAATACATGACACTTACCTTTATTGAAGATCTGGTGATGATTGATGGGATGGGAGGAGGGGAGAGTGTAGAAGTTGTTATTGTTTAGAAGGGGAATCCCCTTCCATTAGGACTTGAGGTATCAAGTCCTTTTCTGGGGTTACTTCCCTTCTTCTTTTAATGCCACTAGGACCAGCTTGAGAGTCACTGGACCTCTGTCGCACAACAAATCTGTCCATAGAGCTCTGTGCCTCCCATTCCTTTAAGATTTGCCTAAAATGGGCCACAACATTGTCATTGTAATAGTCACCAGCACGGCTTGCAATAGCTGTGTTAGGGTGCTTTTCATCCATAAAGGTTTGCAGTTCAACCCACTTTGTACACATTTCCTTAATCTTTGAAGTAGGCACAATGGATTCCACAACTGGCATAGGCTTTTCAGGGTTAGCCCTAATGCCTTCAAAATATTTCTTAATTTCCATATGAATTCTCACCCTTTGTACCACAGGGTTGGCACTAGAAGCTTTCTTGGGGCCCATGGTGACTTATTTTGCAGTTATAAGCACAAAAAACACTGGGATAAAGTGAAATGTACCAAATGTATGCGTGGATGCGACTGCACTGGCTGGCTTGTAAACACTGGCGCTGAGGCCACACATGGGACGCGTCCCGGACGAATCCCGAGAGGCAAGTTTTTTAGCGTGAGGCGAGGCAAAATTTTTGCATTCAAATGTATCGTATGGCGGATTTAATGTAACGCGATGCCATCGTAAGGCGGGGGTCCACTGTTATACTAATAATAATATAATATGTATAATAACAATAATATAATATGTATAATAATAATACATATACATATAATAATAATGTACTTGATATAACAATTATAATAGATGGCTTCAAAAGGCCATCACTAGATGGCAGTGTTTACCTTAACAAAGAGGGTGTGGTTGTGGCCGCCTCCACCTGTTATATAATGACATATTTTATTCATTCTAGAGTATATATCATGTCTCTATGTTATTTTTATTGTTTGTTGTGTCATATTAGATGAACTGTGATATATAAATAAGCCGTATAGATGATATTAGCGAAATTATTCATGAACCATACCCCCGGCCGGGATTGAACCCGCGGTCATAGAGTCTCAAAACTCCAGCCCATCGCGTTAGCCACTAGACCAGCTAGCCACAATAAGATTCATCCAACTAGGTATATTTCTACACCATAGGAAGGTTAGCACAGGCACCACTGTGACCACAAATGCAAGTTTTTACAGACGAATCTCCAGCTAGCGTGGCAGTGACGAACTCTAGCTCAAGCCCCTTCACTGCCGTCAACATGACTCAAGAAATCGTAATGACACGATTTGCAAACAAACCATACCCCCGGCCGGGATTGAACCCGCGGTCATAGAGTCTCAAAACTCCAGCCCGTCGCGTTAGCCACTAGACCAGCTAGCCACAATAAGATTCATCCAACTAGGTACAGTGGACCCCCGCATACCGATGGCACCACATAACGATTAATCCGCATACCGCTTGCTTTAATCGCAAAAATTTTGCCTCGCATACCGCTTAAAAACCCGCTCACCGATTTTCGTCCGAGACGCGTCCAATGTGTGCCCTCAGCCAGCCTCACATGTGCCGCCCATGCCATTGTTTACCAGCCAGCCTCCGTGGTAACATCCAAGCATACAATCGGAATATTTCGTATTATTACAGTGTTTTCGGTGCTGTTTCTGGAAAATAAGTGAACATGGGCCCCAAGAAAGCTTCTAGTGCCAACCCTACACCATTAAGGGTGAGAATTCCAATAGAAATGAAGAAAGAGATCATTGATAAGTATGAAAGTGGAGTGCGTATCGCCGACCTGG